TGTAATCAAGAAAGGATCCAGAGTACATATGCAGAAATTTTCCTACAATGGTCAGTTGTGCTAGGTTGCAGTACATGATGCACCCAGGGATCTGAACTTCTCTTGAGTTTGTCTTAGCCAGAAAACCCACTGAAAGACACTGTATCTGCAAAACTATTAGAAATGTTTCTGAATGACAATGACAATTAAGTCCCATTGGAAAATACTGATTAATATTTATCTTACATTTTTGTGTTTGTTACTCTATTACCTACCTTTTTGAAGGAGGTCTTACTACTCAGTCATACCAACAGTTATGCCAGAGGCCATGGCAACCACTTGAATGAAGTTAGAGCAATTGCAGAGGTTGCTGTAATTGAAAGCAGTTTGGCATGGCCATCAACGGACTAATCCACAGCACAGAATAGTTGGAAGCATAAAGCACTTTGGCCGCTTCCCCCAACGTACCTCCTCCTCCTCCTTGACCACTTTCTCAGCATGTCCATAGACTGTGGGTTATGCAGGGCTGTCTTACACTGTTCTTGCACTGGGAGAGTTCCCAGTACCTGAAGCCAAGCGTGCTAGCTCTGTGGCCAATTTTGGATGGTTGAGCCACTGTAAAGGGGCCACAGTGATTCCAGAACCAGGCCCAATAGGTTTGATTATTGATATCACTTACATTGGCGTAAGTCTGCTGGAGTCACTGGGGCTACACCAATGTGAAACTGGTGGGAATGTTAAATCAGACCTAATGTTCTATTAACTTGTGGATACCATAACTCTCATAAAAAAGAACTGTTAGATTCTCTTGTTTTTCACCCATTATTTCATCAGATCACTGAGACTTTGTGGTTTCTATCAGGTAGAAATAACATGTGAAATGGTATTCTTGAAAGTCAGACCCCATTTCACATCACTCACTAATAGTCGGTTTACAGGCATTACCTAGCTGGACTGGACTTGTTAAATTAGAGATGAATTGCAGCTTCCCAGAACCAGCAAGTTCCCCAGTTGTGAAACGGTTTTTACTTACACCAATCTACATCCTAATAAGAATATTGTCTTGGAGATGGCAGTGCTCGAGAGCTTTATATTATTATGCAGATTTTTATTTTTGCTAGGCACTCCATATGGAGCCCTAAGGTATAGACTTGTACCATGCTAAAACAATATAAACTTGGGGAAATTATCCTCTAAGATTTCAGTAAAAAGTACATTGAATTATTTTCTTAACGCTACTCTGTGTCAATCTGAGCTACCTTCGGTGCAGAGAGATGCATAAAATTGAACTGAAGATGTGATCCAGAATGTATTCAGCTTTTCACTTTAACAGACTGAAACTAAAGGTGCAGCTAGATTCTGCGGGCTGTGAAATACGGATATTGTAGGAAATACATTAGCTTAATAAACCGTGCAACAATTATTCTACTGTGTAGAGAGCTGCCATGTAAATGTTGTTCATTTTTATTTCATTTTTACTGAGACTGGTGTGGTGCCAAATGGCATTGCATCATCTTGTTTCAATATACAATGTGTGCTGTCCCTGTTTGAAAGACAGGGACACAATCAAAAGAGTTTAGGGCTTCTGTTATCATTGGTGGTGTAAACTGAAGCTTTATTTGTGCCATAAAACACAGTGTTGTGACTCTGCAGGCAAACTCAAAAGTATTTAAACAATACTGGGAAACACTGAGAAATGGGACATTTTCATTCTACCCCATTCTCAAGATACTTCAAAACTAAATAGAACTGGAAAGGCGGGAGCACTTGAAAACAATTGTTCACCCACAGATATGTTTCTAGTGCAGGATGGGATGGGGTAGTGGCTTAGAGATTGTGATTGTCCAAAGTAAGGTGAGCACCTCATATAATTGCTTATCTCCAACCAGTTGTGTCCCCTCACTAGATCTAAATTAATCAAGTTAAAATCCTGCCTTATTTTGTTCAACAGAGTATGTAGGTTCCCTTTAATCACTTGTGCAAGCAACAGGGCAGGAACTTTCCATAGCATATAGGAAAGGGGGGTTGCTAAGCAAGGGTTTGTCCAGCCCCCCCCCAGATAAGCTAGTGTGCATCCCCAGAAAATCAGCTAGTGCTGGTAGGCAAATGGTGTATGTATGCATGTATTATTCCTGCTCAGAGAAGCAGCAAAATGCATCACATAGCAAGGTTTCCAACTATCTTTGAAAGCTATTGTATCACAAGTAATGAAGATGTCTGATATTTTAACTGCTTTCTTTCCCCAACCAAACTAGATTAGGCTGAGAAAGGAGAATATGTTGTGTTGTAACTTCCACAGTATAGCTGTGGCCTGAAGGCTTTTGTATGGGGGTTCCATGTGTTTGGATCTCCAAAGTAATGTTATACAAAATGAGCAAAGCTAAATTTAAAATCTTTGCAGTTATTCAGGAAATGCATAGAGGCATCCTCCACAGGAGCCAAAGTAAGCACATGTATTAGCTAGTCTTTCAGTGGCACCTTGTTACCGTTAGGATGAACTGCTGTAGCTCAAAGGTGGTGTTGCAGAATGGAAGTTCAGGACTGGGGATTGTAATGTAGCAATATAGCCAGTGAACTTCAAAATGCAGAAAGTTAATTAAATACATTGCTGATCAGTGCAGACCAGTTACTAATGATGCTGTGTTTATATTTTTATAATAATAATAATACTTCCAATAAAAATAAGTATGTAAAAAAGCTAAAGTATCTTGGTATGTAGGTCAACAATTGTAATGGTGCATACCTTGAATGTTGTCTATGATTAGTAGACCTCTGTAAATAACTGATTTTTTTTGGTTTGCTGGCAATTCCAAAAACTTTTGGGGAAAAATGATTTTGGGTTGACCTGAAACAAATTTTTCAAAATTTTTAGCTAATCAAAAATGCTATTTTTTGTTTTGAGCCTCTTTAAAAAACATTTTAATACAATTTAAGGAAATACCTCAATGAAAAGTCATTTTGAATCAAAGTCAAAATGTTTTTTTGAAAGTGTCAAAACTAAACGTTTTGACTTTCAAAAAAAATGTCCAGCATGAACAATTCAGTGAAATTAGCACGAATCTGCAAAATGTTTTTGTGTCTGAATATGTGTTTTTCACCAAAAAAGCTTTCAGATAAAAAATTTCTGCCAGCTCAGTCTCACCTTTATGATTAGAGCAGTCTCACCTTATGTTCTTATGTTATATTGTAGGGGATACTTGTAGGCAGAGACTTTGAAAGCAGTCAAAGAGATCTGGATGCCCAGTTCTATGAAATATAATGGGAATTGGGCAACCAGATCTCCGAGGCAGTTTTGAAAAATCTCCCCACTGAATGTCAGATGTTTCCATGTGATGCCATTGACTATATAGGTTGATAGTAGCACTGTGTGATCCTGGTAGTTGTCATTTGGAGGTTGTGCATGATTGTAGTGCACATACTGTAACAGCAGTTGTTCTCTTCTGGAAGGAGAGAACACATCACAGGAAAGAGCTGTTTGTCATTCTCAGCTGTCACTTGAGTTTGCATTGATTGCAAGCTGTTCCATTGACCAATGGCCTATGGCTACCATGTGGAGGTCTGGCATGGAACATCAACCATGCTGCATTTTCCCTGACAAAGACAAGGTTGTCTCTTCTCATAGCTACTTTAACTTGCTAGAGAGTCCTACTAATTCCATTTGTCCTGTTGGAAGGGAGGGGATGTATTCTTATGTTTTTTACAAGAATTCAATGTTACTCCGTGAAATTCAGCCTGGCCTAAGGATTTTAGGGGACAGATCTTCAGCTCGTGTAAGTTCATCAATGGAGCTCTGAGAACAGTAAGGGCAGGCACAGATCTGCCATAGCAGCATTGGCTTCCTTCACACACACTTCCTTGCCCATACAGCTGACCTGCAGGACTGCTCCCATAGGGATGAGCGTGTGTGGTTTGGTGTCTATGGCCCATTTGATCTTTGGCCTCAAACTGGCAAGGGAATTCCTACCTAATTCAGATATAACACAGATGGTGACACAGTCACGTATCAGCAGCAGCTGAGCAAGTTGTGCTCGTTCGTGTGTTCCGTTAGTCCACAGGAGATCCTTCTGGTGGTGCACAGTGATTGGCCAAGAAGAGATCAGGTGTTCGAAACTGGAGAATGTGATGAAGGGGAACATAGAAAAGCACTGCATGCAATTTAGGTATTTTTGTGTGGTACTAACTAAATAGAAGCTAAGAAAACTGACCTGACCCAGAGGTAGGAGCTTCATAGCATGGAATGAAGGCCAGGAAACTTGTGTACTGAGAAATGCTCTAAAGATCCATGTGACTCTTCATGAATGGTTGCAGACCAAATCTCAGAGCATAGCCTAAGGTAAAGAGAGACTGAGACAAAGTGGAACTAAATACAGTTCTAAAACAAACAAAAAAAGCCAACCTACCTCTTTTTTTTAAAAAAACTAATTTACTAATAACACTTCCTCCCAAGGTGCATGAGAATTGCATCAAATTGCTATGCTGCAAGTGTGGTGATTCTGAACAGGCCACCAGCCCCCGGACGTTGTTATTCCTCCATTAACTGATTTTCATTTCTACAGTCAAAGAAGTATTCTGACCAGGATGAGGAAGAAGATGCGAGGCTCCAACTATTGGAAAAAGGGAGCCCTTCTGTCCAAACTTTTAAGATCGCATGAAGGAGAGGATTTGCTCTCAGAGGCGCTCAGCATCAGAGCGTATTGCTCCTTCAGTGTCATGTTGCATCCCCACCTCATTGATCTCTGCCACTGATCGCATGGTTGCATGACCATTGCACATCTTCCTTCATGCAATGTCCTGTGTTTCATTGTCATACAGGGGAGAGGGAGCCCTGACTTCCTTAACTGCCTTTCTGCATAAGAAAGAGAAGCAATGGAGTGAGATACGGCACATCCAAATAAGAACCAGAAGATCCCGGATCTGTTTAAGAGCCCATCCAGCTTCACTTTAAAAAAAACAAAAACAAGACAATAGTGTATATGGTTTTAATTTTATTTTTGTTAAATTTTTTTCTTACTTTTTCCTAGACTTCGCCCGATGGTCTTACCTGTCTCAGAGAGGTAAAATTTAAACCAATTTGACTATCTTGGTCATATAACTTTTAAAGGAAGCGGTTTCCTAAGCAAGAGCAAGGTACAACTTGATCAGCTCTGCTCTCTCTTCACATGTTTGTTAGCAAATAAGGTAAAGGTGGTTGAAGATTACCTACCTCCCAGGGTATATTTTCAGGTTGCGCAATGCCCCGTTCCTGGGTAAGAAGTGTCTTGTGTGTAGCCAGAATCTGCAGTCATCCAACATTCTTCTTTCTATGCCATGATTTATTCTGTGATGTGCTGTGCAGCGTTAGCTGCAGCAGGTTAGTTCATTTATTTAGTGCTTTGTTTGGTACGAGTGGAAACCACCTAAAAATGTGTAGAGTAATACTTCTCCTTGCCCCTTTTCATTCAGACTTACCCTGACTTTCACTTATAATTCACCCTGTGGAAAGAAGCTGGGAATGTAGAAGGAAGGCAGAGAAGAACATAAGGTCCTGATCCAAAGCCCACTGGAATCAATGGGAGGACTCATACTGATCTCGGTGATCTTGGAAAGGGGCCCTACATGCATAGAGTGAATACGGAAAGTCTATAAAATAATTTCAGAGCACCTTCCACAGTTCAGAGTCTGAATCATTCCAGCTCTCCAAGAATGAAATGTACCAAAAGGAAATACAAGGCAAAGTGTTTGTGAATAAGATAAGTTTACATGGGTCATTGCAAGTATTAGCAAAGGGATCCCCAGACTGTATTTCTCTATGTTCTGTGTCACATTTTAATACGACCTTTCTCCACAGTTGGTTTTCACCAAGGCTCTTACAGGCATAATATGCTCATTAAGCTTAACTGTTTGTGTAATTAATTTCAGTGTTGTTGATTTAGTGGGGAAAATGGAACTGAAATGATCTTTCATGTTTCCAAGAAACAGAGTGGATATTGAGAGGCCACTTAGGCCAATATAGAACCAAAAAGGAATTAGAGTCTCTCTGGTATGGAAATTAATCTCTCCAACCAGGCAATAATAATAATGATTTATTAATAAATTACAGTTCAACTTTAATCAAACATGTTTCATATTAAATTTATATTTCAGTGGGTACTTGATGCAATATTTGTATTAACATTTACCATGAAGAAATTCTACTTAACCCTTTCCAGGCTGTGTGATATATCAATATGATTTCCTGAGACATCACCTAAGCTGGAAGTCTGGAAAACATCGTAGTTTGTTGACCTTCCATGGGAGCAAGATCAAGCCCATAGCTGATTCCCAGTCTAGTTCTGCAAGCATACCCAATTTTACGCGTTTGCAGGATCAGGCCTTTCAAAAACTGAGGGTGGACCACACAACAAGTTAGTGTGCAGCAAGCCAGGGTGTGAATCTACAGCGTACTAGCTTGCCATGCGGTTCCTGCTACCGCGTACTGAAAGCTCTGTAGTCCACTTTGATGTACTGCTCTTTGAAATGGGAGTAACTCAAAGTGGACTATAGAACTTTTAGTGCGCCTGAAGCAGGGTCCACAGAGTGAGTTACTGTGCACCGAGCTAGTGCACTGTAGACTCTCACCCTAGCTTGCTACGAAAAACTCGCCATGTAGACAAGCCCTAAGGCTCACTTCTTCTATTTATGCAAACACTTACTACTGGGTGTAGAGCTTATTAATGTTGGAACCTCACTTAACTTCAGTGAGACCACTCATTGGGGTTCTGAAACTATACATTTCAAAGTTCTTTACAAAGGAACATATCATTCTCTCATTTTTCTGATGGGAGAAACTAAGGTGACATGTCTTGACCAAGGTTATGTACCCAGATCAGCAGTAGAGCTAGAGTCATAACTCCTGACTCCCCAGCCTTATCCACAGAACCATGTTGCCTAGTAAATGTTTTCAAGTTCAAGTCCTGAGTGATTTCTTTATGAAACTTTCATACATTTAAGATATTTTACATAGGCAAAATTTAACTTACTTTCCAACTAGGATGTAGATCTAGAAATTCTGGCAAAAATCACATCTTGGTATCATTAATTTTAAGCCACAGTTAATTAGCTAATTCTCCTTGAGGTTCTTGTTCCTAAGTATAGGTAATCTTTTTTTTTTTTTTTTATAAAATTAAGGTACACTGACCCATAATTTAAACCTTTCTGCTGTAGCTGTAAAACTACCCATTTCATCTAATACTTGGTAGTTTACAATTAATGGTGGCCTCTTTAGGTATATTTTACATCATTAATTTTTGTACAAGGGAAATAAATTTTTATTATCAAAATTTGTTAAAAATTCCAAAGTTAATTTGTCCAGTGCCACAGTGGCATAGAATATTATCTCTGGAATCTCAGCAGTTGGGTGGGAAGGAGGCCTTGTATTGTAACCCAATCTGGAAAAAGATTCTGGATTCCTCCAAACTCAGAATTGTTGTTTAGTTTCTGTTCAAGTCAGGGAATGGTCCCATCTAGCCCACAGGAAAAAAGTCCCTTTGGTCATTCTTAATATTAAGGGTACATTTAAACATAGTTCTAACTAGGATTAATAGATATTTTAATGATTAATCGATGGTCATAGAGTCCAATGGATCAATAGGTTGCTTATAATCACGTACAACACCTATGACTGATATGCCCCTAACCATTGTTAACACGTAGTACACATCTGTAACATGCTTTGGGCAGGTATTAATCATTTATTAACATTTTATAAACTGATTATAAATGTAACTTTAAAGGAACAGTCACATATTATATGAAGAACTCAGTGTTACTCAGTAGAATTCACAAGCAGGGCCAGAAGTCCTCTGAGGGGCATATGAAATGTTCAGCTTCCAGGGCTATATATGGTCAGAGGTTCAGACATGTGACCTGTTCATGTTTAAATGGTTAGTGGCATCATATACCTTCTATGTGTGTCTCTGTTGTCTCCCAGAAGACCAAACTCTGTTTACCTTACTTCTTTGAGTAGTTTTAATAGACCACATTTGTTTCCTGGTGTCAGTCCATTGGCTTCAATAGAGTTGCAGCAGAAGATGCATTTGGCCCATTGACTTCAGTGGGAGTACTGGTGAGAGTAAGGCAAGCACAATATGGCCCAGTGAGGAAGCCACAGTTGGCCTCTTACTAAATGTGTCAGTATGGTATTTTAGTAAGGCAATACTTAGGGTGGAATGATAACCAATGCTTAATCTGTGGATAGTTGTAAGGTTGAGTTAATTAACATTCGGAATGTCCTGATGAAAACCCTTTCTGTACCCTCATGACACTGTCACAGAATGGCTACACTCTCCTAGTTGGTAAGTCCTGCATGCGTAGTTATGTTGTTACACAAGGGATTAATCTGGCCCAGTTTAATTAAGAAATGTAAGAGTGGCAGCGAACCAGCTGAGTGTGATTTCTCTAATGTTTATGCAGTAGGTTCCACGATCACACTTGTGCTTCAGTTATTTTTTCCCCTTAGCGCTTCTTTCAGATAGATTTCAGAGAGAGGTGGAGGTGTCAAGTGCTCAGTCACCCCGATGAACTCATGTAGGGTCCTGCAGGGTTCCTTTCTATCACTCCCCACTCCACCATTTCATCATGTTTTTTAGTCTACTAGAGGAGACAAATATATTGGGCTGCAGTCCCATCACTATTTTGATGACACTCAGCCATGTGTCTCCTGGCCAAGATAGAGAGAAGGAGCCAGCTAAGGTTCTGCCATTAAACAAGTAAAGCAACTTGAGCAGTCGATGTGCTTTTTGATTGCATCATCTTTTGGTGAAATGTGTCCACTGCTTCCCAAATTGGTTCTCATTCATGGAGTTCTTTTGGACTCTTAAGTGCCTTTGGATTCCCAGGTAGTAGCAGAGTTTCAAACCGCTTTTTATCATCTGTGACGAGCTAAACCTTACGTCACTGATTCAGGCCTTTCCAGAGTCACCTCCAGATTAGACTGTTGCAATAAACTCTACTTGGAGTTATCTGTGAGGTATTCTGAGACTTCAGTTAGTGCAGAATGCACTGGGCTATGTACCTAGTGGAATGGGTTGTTCTCAGAACATTACAGCTAGGTTCTGTTAACTGTACTGGCTCCCCATCTGTTTCCTAGTGCGATTCATGATGCCGGTTCTGATCTATAAAGCTCTCTATGGTATGAAACATGGCTAGCCTGGGGTACTGCCTTTGTATCATGGTGCATAGGAATACTGAGGTATTTCTGCTGCCAGTCCCTAGATGTGCGATCTTTGAGGATTGGAAGATGAGGTGTTTTCAGTAGCAGTGTTTGATCTTCAAGAGTGTACTGCTTCACAAGAGTTTGCTGACTGTGGCATGGCTTGAAACATCTTTATTCAAGATTTTGCACTATTAGGGACAACCACTCGGTCACTTATTTTGGTTGGTTACAGTGACCATGGCAGGGGGCTGTTTATGCAAACTGTTGTGGCACTATATCTGAGTCTAACATCTGCCACATGCCCAAGTGATGTTGTTGCTGATTTCATCTCGGGAAACTGATGGGTCTATTTATTTATTGAGTGTATCTTTACCCAGAACATTGGTTAGGCATTCTTTCATAGTTTGCAAAATAAGTAAATAAACATACTTGAATATTTAATCCCAACAGGGTTTTTGAAGCAGTGGTATCTTATTTTCAGACTGGTGGTATATTATCTGCCCTCTAGTGCTAGAAGTAGTGAATTACTGAATATTTTTCTATTTAATGGATAGTGCCTGCCATGGTAACTGATTGTTCTGTTTGACCTGGAAATACTGTATGTAGGCAAGTGTCTGATATGCATTACATTTTTAAGAAATTAAAATTAATTGACAAAGAAAATTCAAGAAATGGCTTTTTGTCTAATATGACAGTTAAACATTTTTCTTTTCTTGTAGGACACAATATAGAAGCCTTAATTCCAGTGGCACTGAAAGATTTGTGGGGAAAGATGAAATACTGGACCCACTCCTGACTCACTTTGAAATCAATGGAATTTTTTCCCTTTGATGTCAATGGGAGCAGAATTGTGCCCTTCTGTCAGAGCTTGTGTATAAATAG